ATTGGCTTGACTACTTGCGGGAAGGTCAAAAGCCAAAGAAAAGTTTGGTTAGTCTTCCATTTACTGATATCACTTTCCGAAACTTTAACTTAAAGTGCACCTAAACCCAAAAATTTTTTTTCGCTTAACGAAATAAGCTTATTTTTTGGAGTATTTCTGTGCAAAAATTTTTTAATTTGCTTAAATCTTAAATTTTCTGTGCCTAGTCAAAATATGGAAAATCGGCCGCCATCTTGCCCCACGACCGAGTTTAAAGAGGAATGGCTCTAGCGGATAATGTGACGTCAAATCGAGAACACGAAAGTCTGCATTTCACACATTTTCGCTTGTTTAGGAAGGTTGTAGTCGATTTTGTCCGAAAATATGCCGACTAAGTGTGTTATAGGAGGATGTAGCAACGTGCGAAATTTGCAAGAGGGTATCACGCTTCATACATTCCTCATACAATACACCTGGTCGGCATATTTCGGACAATATCGACCACAACCTTCCCAAACAAGTGAAAATGTGTGAAAAGCAGACTTTCGTGTTCTCGATTTGACGTCACATTATCCGCTAGAGCCATTCCTCTTTAAACTCGGTCGTGGGGCAAGATGGCGGCCGATTTTCCATATTTTGACTAGGCACAGAAAATTTAAGATTTAAGCAAATTAAAAAATTTTTGCACAGAAATACTCCAAAAAATAAGCTTATTTCGTTAAGCGAAAAAAAATTTTGGGGTTTAGGTGCACTTTAAGTTTATCTCAATATGTACACATTATAACTTCATGCTACTCTGCAGTAATTAGGTGTTCATATAACCAGTATATTTTTCCAGCTCAAAGCACCAAACACCCATAGCTTCAATACAATGTGGATCATAAAATGTACTTCTGTCAAAATAATAGTTGTATGCTGTTATTGTTCATTATCAGTTGTGTACATTTAAGTCCAGTGACACAACCCAACCAAATATTATCCATGAACCTTTTTACCGTAAACAGCAAGTAAGAATATCACAATAATTTCACCTGAATGGGATGCAAGAACAAAATAATTTGCCGATTTCCCACAACCAAGACTTGTCCACACCCACGTACCACAGCTTTTCTTAGGGCCAAGTCAGAAGGCTTTTCCACAGGCCATGTACCAAGGCTTGTCCACAGACCACATACAAAAAGGCTCATCCAGAGGTCAAGCACCAAGGTTCATCCACAGATAATTGACCATAAGTTGTCCACAGGGTGCAAACAAGACTTTTCCAGAGTTTCAGAGTCTAGAATAAAGAACCCACAAATTGATCCTAGAGATCAAGGGGAAAATACATGTTTCTTGGACAAGTGGGAGGACTGGAGAGGAAACGAATTAGCTTGAGGTCATGATGTATGGACCAGGCATAGTGTCAGGTCTGCACGTCATAACACCGACGGGATGGCTTTTTTCTAGACTAGCTTGCGTCAACATGTCAAGTCCTACAAACCTTGGCTTCCTTTACAGTTTTCCATAGGATGAGCAGCGCTGTACAAGTCTTGTGATAGACAATCTGGAAGAGCCTGGCCAGATCACTCATAATGTGACCTATCCAACTTACTTTCCTTACTGAAAACAAGATTCAAGTAGAATGGAAATGATAGAATCTTCTCTCTGATCAGTATAACATAAAATAACATAAAGCTGACCAAAATTGTACACCTCTCAATAAACAATTATTTTGTTAGTTATTATCTAGCTTATATGCTAGCACTGAATTTTATCAAATGAAATACTTCAATGAAAGTCACACAAGTTGTTAGCACAAAACGTCGGTGTGTTGATACCTGCAGTTGCACCGGGTCTTGTTAGGTGCACCTGATCACAATACTGATAATATAACAGGGTTGCTTAGCTATTTGGAAGAAGCAACCAAATTTATTAAGGATAAAATCTCGATTATTGACAGGGTGTGGACAAAACCTGGCCTAGGCCATGGCCTACCCTATGGCCTATCC